GTGTTCTGTAGGAGGTTGTGTGTTCTGTAGATGGTTGTGTGTTCTGTAGATGGTTGTGTGTTCTATAGATGGTTGTGTGTTCTGTAGGAGGTTATGTGTCTGTAGATGGTTGTGTGTTCTATAGATGGTTGTGTGTTCTGTAGGAGGTTGTGTGTCTGTAGATGGTTGTGTTCTGTAGATGGTTGTGTGTTCTGTAGGAGGTTGTGTGCTCTGTAGATGGTTGTGTGTTCTGGGGAAGGTTGTGTGTTCTGTAGGAGAATGTGTGTTCTTAGATGGTTGTGTGTTCTGTAGGAGGTTGTGTCTGTAGATGGTTGTGTGTTCTATAGATGTTGTGTGTTCTGTAGATGGTTGTGTGTCTGTAGATGCTGTGTGTTCTATAGATGGTTGTGTGTTCTGTAGGAGGTTATGTGTCTGTAGATGGTTGTGTGTTCTATAGATGGTTGTGTGTTCTGTAGGAGGTTATGTGTCTGTAGATGGTTGTGCGTTCTGTAGATGGTTGTGTGTTCTGTAGGATAATGTGTGGTGTTGGAGGTTGTGTGTTTTGTAACTGGGTGTTCTATAGATGGTTGTGGGTTCTGTAGGATAATGTGTGGTGTTGGAGGTTGTGTGTTTTGTAACTGGGTGTGCTGTAGGAGGTTGTGTGTTCTGTAGGAGGTTGTGTGTCTGTAGATGGTTGTGTGTTCTGTAAATGGTTGTTCTATAGGAGGTTGTCTGTCCTGTAGGATGTTATATGTTCTGTAGATAGTTGTGTGTTCTGTAGATGGTTGTATGTTCTGTAGATGGTTATGTGTTCTGTAGGAGGTTGTGTGTCCTGTAGATGGTTGTGTGTTCTGTTGATGATTGAGTGTTCTGTCGATGTGTGTTCTGTAGATGGTTGTGTGTCCTGTTGATGATTGAGTGTTCTGTCGATGTGTGTTCTGTAGATGGTTATGTGTTCTGTAGGAGGTTATGTGTTCTGTAGGAGGTTGTGTGTCCTGTAGATGGTTGTGTGTTCTGTAGATGGTTATGTGTTCTGTAGGAGTTGTGTGTTCTGTCTGTATGAAGTTGTTTATTCTGTACACACTTAAAAAAGATGGTTCTTTAGTAAAGACAATGGTTCTATATACAACCATGAGCTCTACATGGAACTAGTTCATGCTTAACTGTTTTTTTTGTATAATAAAATGGTTCTTCAGATTGATGGCGATTATCTTCTGTGTAGCATCGTTTTAAAATGCTTCTATACAGCAAGTTAGATGTCCTCAAGGTCTGAGCTCAGACAGTCAAGCTATAAAACACTCAACCTCCTACAGAACCCACTGCCACCACAGACACACACTCCTATAAAACACACTGAATACTCGCGGTGAGTAAAACAACACAAATATCATATCTCATAACTTCAGAACATTTAATATTACACGCTAAATCTCGGAGGGCTGGTGTCCAGCACCGTCTGGTGATGTTCCTGCTCAAACACACCTGCTTCAACTCAGCTGTTAATGGTGTAGTGGGTGTGTTTGAGTGGGGGAACTGCCTGTCTGTGCTGGACACCGGCCCCCCAGGACTGGAGCAGTGCAGCCCGGCTCTACAGCTTCACTGTATTTATTGTTTATTGTTAAATATCTTGAGAAATGATGTTTGTGTTGAATTACTCACCACAGTATTTAGTGTGTTCTGTCACAGCACTGTTTTCTATAGGAATGAGTGTTTCATAGCTTTCAGCAGTCGCTGTAGGTCCACACGAGTGTCCACTCTCCACACTAAAATCATAAATCTCTCACACTAGCTGAGCTGAGAGTACTGACCCATATAACACTGTCATTTTCCCCACTTGTTCAAGGCCTTTCAGGGCCAGCAGAGTGCTAAAAGCCCCTCACGTGTGTGTGTGTGTGTGTGTGTGTGTGTGTGTGTGTGTGTGTGTGTGTGTGTGTAATAGTGGAATTTATTATGTAGCAAGTGCAGGTGTGTGTTTTGGAACTGTGTTTGCCCCATGGCTTAGTGTGTGTGTGTGTGTGTATGTGTGTGTGTGTGTGTGTGTGTGTGTGTGAAGCTGTTTGAGTCAGCTCAGAATAGTGAAGACCCTCAGGGCCTGATATAGGGGGATATAACTCAAGCTTCTCGCTAACCCAGCTCATTTTGCTCATTTTTCCACTGCACACCCTAAAACAAGAAACAGGAACCAATAGAATGTACGGTTCTAGCTCTGATTCTTTTTCCCCCCACTAGAGAGGCAGCTAGAACCAACAAAATACGACAATTAATTTGATTTAAATTTAATTTATTGTGTTTTTGTTCATTTATTACTGCTCTAGAGCGTCTCGCTTACAGAAAGAGTCTAATTTATTTCTCATGTGAAGGCATCTAAAAATCACATGATCACAAGTAAACACATGTAACACCCTGTGAAATTAATGTGATCATACGTTACATGTCAAGCTCTGAAATGACACAGGAAATCACGTTTTTCCCATATGTTCCTGGTTTTTTCACACGCAATTTAGAGTGATCATACTTTTTT